GCCAATCCTCCTCTTTTTTTGCCGAGGAAGACGGCCCTGGGCTAACATCCGTGCCCATCCTCCTCCACTTTATATGGGTCGCTGCCACAGCATGGCTCGCCAAAGCAGTGCATCGGTGCGCGCCCGGGATCCGAACCAGAGAACCCCGGGCCGCCGCAGCGGAGCGCGCGCACCCAACCGCTTGCGCCACCGGGCCGGCCCCTCTTTTTCATTTTTAATTAAGAATATGTATTAGGCATTCTTTTTCAAAAACTGCCTTTCCTTACAGAAAAGTTTAAGAAAACTTACCACGTCTAGTTGCCCATTACACAAATGCCAGTTCTAAAGAAAAGTTTTCTTGCAGGCTGATTTTCCCTGCTGCTTAGTTCAACACCATCTTCCCCTGATGTCTTTTGCTGTGCTTAAGGGGACCACAAGCTAATTTCATAACACTAAGCCATGCATACTTGAGAAGTTAAAAGTTCTAAATGAAAAAAGCCAGAGTGTGCCACTTAATCAGATAATTGATTTTGAAACAATCTACTATTAGCCTAGATCATGATATTTTTGTCAAACTATACATTTTTCTTACAGAAATAACACTGAAGTCGTAGAGCGAATATTATCTTTGCCACTCACCTAAATTAAGCTCACAAAACAGGTTAAACATATAAACAAACCCAAAACTCAGCCAACTAGTAAGATAGTGTTGAATGAAACACTCCTTACCGGCCTTATATGTTGAATTTTGCTATACTTAGATGCTCTGGAGGAACTGTGAGTTTGTGGGGGAAGAGAGAGAATCCCCCTTTGCCTTTTCCCTTAAGGTTCTTATGGCTGGCCAAATAATTAACAAGACAAGTTAGCAGGAGAAAATAATACCAAGTTTAGTAACATGTGTACATGGGAGAAACCAGGGGTGCTGAGTTTCTCAACACAATGGCAGAGATTCTCGTCTTAAATACCATCTTCAGCTAAAGACAAAGGAGGATGTTATGGGTGGCTGGTGTTTTGGGATTTCAGAGGGGAAGAAGACAATTTACATTAAGAGAGAAAAGTAAATGTTTGTCAGACAATGCTTTGCAGGGGCACCTATAGAGAATGTGGCTGGAGAGACAGAAATGATCGTAATCAAGAGTATGTACATTTAAGTCTTCTTCTTCCGTCCTGATAAGAGTTTTCACAGATAAGGTCATCCCCCCCTCTTCCCACTACACAGAGGGAGATACCTTTACAAATGTAAATATTTGGTAAACAGAACTTTGAAAAGAACAGGCTTAGCCAGGACCCTGCCAGTCTGTCCACACTCAGAGTTAAATTCCTTTAGGCAGTTTGGGGGAGGTCAAATTCCATCAGAAAATAATAAGGTAACGAGATATATTTCAGGGTGGCCAAATCTTGATCTCCCACAAGTTACAAAGACAGAACTAGAAATAATGGCAATAAAATTAGCATCAGCAGCAGAACATCCCCACTAGTTTTCTGGTTAGCATCCTCCCCCAGTCCCCAAACCTAGCACTCAATTGACGGCTCTCCTCTTCCCTATCCAAGGCAATCATATTAATCTATTAAATATCTACTTTGATAACACTGTACATTGAATTAAATACTATAGTGAATAGAAAAATTAACCAGGTGATACATAGAAGAGAGAAAATATATATCCCAAGTAGCCAGGTAAAGTGCAATATAGTGTAAGGTCATTAGAATGGTTCCAACAAAGTGCTT